TTATGTCCATGTTAGTGTGATTAGGACACTTGGTTTGCGTTTAGGTGCTGCATGGACCCTTGAAGATGATGTTCCTGTCGTCGAGCTCAGCACCGTGGAAGGGACACCCTTTAGTCAAACCAGCAATCAACTCTATTATAAGACAAGACCCACAATTTCCAAGGCCAATCAAGTGAGTTTTATTTCTTTTCTATTTTTTAAAAGCTTTTGCCACTGCTGGCTCGATATATTTTGGCAAGTAAAAGCCAAGAACTTGTAACGTTTTGGGTTCTTCTTTGGACGGTGAATAACCAACTCGTTGGTGGAGCGATGGGCTAGGCCAAAGGGCCTCAGCTATCAGAAGTCAAACAAAAACTCATATTATAGAAACAGTTTCATTTTTAGGATGTTTATTATGGATTACTGTACCCAACGAATGGAAAAGCTCTCCAACTGTAAATAAAATCAAAAGAAAGATAAATAAATGGGAAGGACGCACATGCAATCGCAGGATTTGTAAAACTTATGTAGCAAATGTTAGTTTTATTGATTAATTGCTTTTATCTTTCTCATCACCAAACAAACAAAAAATTGTACATAACTACCTTCAATTTGTTATTTAATAGCTTTATTTGAATTTAGTAGGCCTAAATACGCTTTTAGCTATTGTTATTAAATATTTTTCTTGCCTACGGTAAACAAATTTATAATAATGTAATCTTTTTTCATTCAATATATCATTAAATACATACAATTCTACACCTCATTTTTATTAGGCAGTGTACAATTGGCGACTTATCTTTCGAATAGCAAATTGAAACTTAAAAATGACAGTTAGATTAAACATTACAATGAGAACACTTTAGAAGACCATTAAATACGTAATAAGTATAGCGTATTGCTATGTTTTTGTCTTTTGATAGAAGCCGGCGCTGTATAGTTGCGTTAAAATCTAGGTCTTTGAGCATGATAGAGAGCGAATCAGAAAAAGAAGAAAGAATGCCAAGGGCTCCCATTGACACATTCACAAAGTGAACTTGGGGATATTAAGTTGACAGGGAGTGGATGAGAGACTTATACTTTTGTGCTTTGCGGTCGCTGTTATTGTTAACAATTAAGACAAGATAAGGTAAAGAGGACATAAAGACGTAAATCGACGTAAAGAGAACATTATGGTAAAGATGAAAATGCTTTAGCAAGAAAAGGTTTTTCCTTGTTGCGAGTGTATTATTCAGGTAATTGAGAGAAAAGTTGAAAATATTCGTGGCATATTTTGGTGGACAACCGGCCAGAGGGGGCTGGTGCGAGGGCTGGAGAATCGAAGAATTGATGAAATAATAAAACCCCGTGACTTTAGTTGGTGGTGGATTCTTTCTTATGATCATTTTAGACAGCCTTGAGGACCTCCTTTGTGTTTCTCTATTGGTCATATTGAATAAGAAGGACAGAATTAGATTACCATCACTGAGAGGCATTGAGAAAGAAAACTATTTTTTTCTTTATTTAAAGTTGGGACAATTTCTAGCTATGCAAACTCAAGCTAATTAAAACCAACTAAATTTTAACTACCAACGCTAAATATAATATGAATCTACCGATGTTGCTAACGTATTCCTTGCCAAGATTACAAGAACAATTAAACGATGTAAATTCAGAGATTTTCTTCTTGAATATTTGTAAAGTAGGGGAGTACTTTATCTCATTTGGAACTGAGTTCCATATTTGGCTACATCTGTATGATACGGTATTAAATCCATATATCTTTTTTATCCAGGCACTCTTCAGGCCTTCAATAAGTCGTAATAAAGCGTGTTGTGTTCTATAACCTTTTCTAAATCCACAAAGCAAAGGGAACAGTTTAAGAATGATGTAATTGTAGATTTGATTGAACATTATTCTCTCAAATATCTTTGAAGCTGAGGGGAGCACTAATGTTTAAGAGATTTTATTGCAAAAGCTACAAAGAATAATGCATGAATGCAGGTGTAATTGCTGCAGGATCTGCTGACCAAGCTTTCAATGGTAAGCATTACTTCAGGTGTATGAGACTTCACAAAGAAATGTTTGATGGTTTGGCTCAAGCCCGCATAGATGATATTACAAGCCACCTAACAGAATGCAATGCACTCCTTCTGTCAAACCTCCAGTCTTTGCAAACCATCTCATGATTTGAGTAATCAGCTTTTTTTTCTTCGTGGTATGCAACGAGAGGGTCATCCTGAACGGTTAAGCGGAGAAAGGTTTTCAAGAATTCACGGAGATTTAATAACACAGCTATTTAACAAAGGAACAGAAGGACCATTTCGTTCAGAATTCAGCACGAATACAGATGCTGTCAACACGGGGGTACGCACTATATATGGTCATAGTAAACTAAATGCAGTATTTAGAGAGCAGCTTCGGATAAAAACATCTACAAAGCACAAAGAAATGACCCCAGGAAGCAGGATAAGGCACACTAAACATGTAAGAAACTTAAAGACGAAGCTAAGGAGCTATGTCTTAAATCTGTTGAAAATCTTACTAAGTGCATAAAAACTGGCGAGGAAATCGATAAAGGAGTGATAGGTGACATGTTGAACGCAGATGTTATAGGAAATACTAAGCATTTGGAATTTGTAAGCAAGCATTTGGTTGATGGAAGTAAAAGCTTCTTTGATCCAATCAAGAAAACATATTTTATGACAGGAACAGTTAAAAAGCATTTGAATACCCAATCAATTTTGAAGAAGCATTTGAATACCCAATCACCTCAGTGCCATTATCGCTTGCCACTCCAGAGGCGACATTACGCCAATCTGACAAAGCATCGCTCAGAAATTTCCTTATCAACAATTCAGGCTCATTAACTGGTCAATTAGCAACATACGGGCACTGGTTGGTTGATGGTATGGCAGCAGTAAGATCTTTGAAACCCAGAGAAACATTTGTAGAATGGATCAAAAGTTTCATCAGCTTTACGACTCCTCCTGTAACAGCAAACGCTATATCGTTGTGAATTATCAACGATACATATACATATAAAGACATCAGCACTAAATGTGGCACAAGAAGAAGTGGCGTGGTTTTTCTAGGCAAATGGTTCAACTATTTGTGTTTGAGATAAATTTTTAACCTAAAGATATCGTATTATCGTATAACAAAGTATTTAAGTACTCTTTATACACGAAATAATCAAAATCACTTGAGAGATTTAAGGTTAGGCACTTGGTTAGATTGTAGTAATAATTTCCCTGTCTAACTAGATTTATATATATTTACATTTATATATTAAAATTACATCTAAAATGTGTTTTAAATACCTGCCTGTGAATATAAAATGTAGCATATATCTTTTTACCTAGGGATTTTTGCTGGATATCAATGAACAAAGGATGCAGCTTTCTTTAAGGTGAGAAACCATGCATTCCCGTTATCAACATTTTTCAGTTTAGAACAATTTTTGATGTAAATAGAAAGTGTTGAAATTTTTGGTGGTGCCCCTCGCCCTCCTCGCTATGCGTGTTGGCCTCGGTAGTTGTTTTCAAAGCTACAGGTCGAGCTTGCTTCCATCAGGTGCTCTTGAGAGGTTAATTTTACAAATGTCGGACCCTCCGTTTATTTTTCAAAGCAAGCTTGTTACAGAAATACGTTTCGTTTAAATCATCAAACTAGATGGTAACACCTCAAGCTATAATGTTGTCTTGATATAGACGTCTAATTTCGCTATATTGCAGAAAATTTAGTGATCCAAACTTTGACGAGCAATTTTCTAACCTACATGAATTCATGTGCAATTATAAGAAGATTGGGCAGTTTCGCGTTGGCGGCCTGCGACTTCGACTGCTTTTCACCGTTTCCTGCTATTAAAGCTTAGCATTTTTCTGACATTTTTCTTCTTTCACTGTTCTTGCTGGGCGTAATCTAGCCGTTATTGTTTTTGTCAGACCGGTTTGACGCTACTTCAGTTCTTCTGGATACTCTATCTTGGAGTCAGTGGTGCTGATAATATGCACGTTCTGAGTAAAGCTGGGCTATCTTGGGATCGTTGTTGTCGTAAGCTCTATGCCAAATCAAGGAACCTTTTTGGGAACTCTTTTGTTATTGAGCAAGCTTGAGATTCACTGACATTTTCATAACACTGACATAATCACTTTTGCTCAGGAATGAACACTGCCGTTTTGCTATAAAAGCTTCTCGTTCTCGCTTAGAAGGTCGTAGGTAGAAGCTAATACTCCTGTCACCACTTGAAAAATCGAAGACGGTTTATTGTCGAGCACCGAACGAGCCTCCAGTCTTTTTTCGTTGCTAAATTATTTTGATTTCTACGGGAAAGCTTTCTGCCAAAGTAGAGTGTAAAAATAATGAGCAGGAGGTCCATTTTACTGACAAGAGAAGTTCCAGATTACGTCTTCAATGTTATTCCTACCAACCTCGCCACGTGGACAAAAATGTCGTATTGGTGCTTGTGACAATCGGTCTGAAAGGTTTCACAGGGAAACAGCAAATTTAAGATATATGTTGATTAGCCGACAGTATCCGGTGCATAGAGGTGACTGCAGCAGGTTGTTCGAGTGGAATGGTTGTGAATATGAAGATGGCCTTTTTCAACTTTAAGAGTCAACTTACCAAATTAGATATAGTGGCAAAGACCTAAAGACCAAGTAAAATTATGTTCTTAAAACCACCTCGACGATCGCGAGCGGAAAGCAGTCCTGAGTATGGCAGGTGACGCGATATCTCGTATAATTTCTCGAAAAATTTTCTCATAGAGATTTCAACGAGAAGACAATCACAGAATTTTCATTATATCCCATCCTTTGCTTTTGAAAAACAATTCATTAAAAATATAATAATAATTAATCATCATCATCTTGCAATGATCCATCACCACCAAACTGTTGTCGATTCTTGCTGCTATTCTAGATGTTTATTGAATGTGCTTTTTCGTTTCAAGTTTCAAGGAAGATTCCTCTAAGATATCAAGTGAAGATTTAAGTAATGAAGATCCAGAATTATGTCCATATCTCCCCAGGTAAGATCGGTATTATTATTCTCGTCCACAAAGCGATGGTGTAATCAAAAGTTATCCTTTAGTGCGTCTTCGACATTTGCTTGTTGCTATGAAAATTTTCGATTGTTCTACCTTTCACAGATGCTTCGAAAACACATCAGTTTATGTTCTGAAATTTTCTTTAATTATCATGTGTGTTTTTTTATTGCTGCATTATTTTACGTCCTCACAAAAACTAGAAGCATTGTTGTCGAGTGGAGCCGTCAAGGTATTTGCAGTTTTTTCCGGTTAAAACAATGTCTTATGATTGAAGAGTTTACAAATAGATCTCTTTTTATAAAACTTGTTCTGTTTCAGTTCTTTGTTTCTGTATCAGTTGTTGCTTTCTCGAAGTTTTTCTGCATCACTGTCTTATTTTAAACAGGTCTCTTGGACAATTGTTCCGTTTATTTTCTTTTAAATTTGATTTTTTAATGCAGAGTCCAGAAAAATTGTTAACCTTCCTTCAGACAAAAAATCCCAAAACGCAAACCTTCCTCACAAACAATGGAAAGTAGGCGTGGCTGGGTGTGTCATAGGAGCTTCTATTGTTTTTCGTGGACTTTCCTCCGGTCAGTGGCCGTGCGACCGTAATGTTTTCCTGACTCTATTTTAGTGGTCTCTTGTTTTACAAAGGACAATTGTTCGAATCATTGACAGAAACAAGCCTCCAGGCTTCAGTCCCCGTTCTCTTTCACGTATTGAAGTCTTCAGATCATAACTAACAAAGAGGGTACGCTTCCAACTCCAGACTTCATATTTTGCATTTGTACATGTAGTACAGTAGTATTTTTAATAACAGTTTCACTCTTATTGCTTTTTTGTTTACGACGGCTGTCATCCTGAACGGGAATTTTGTCGTTTTCTGCAATATGCTGTATATTTATTTTTTCAAGCAAACAACATACTGAGACCGACTCAGATCTGTCCTCCTTAAGCTACATTTCACAATAACATTCCTAATAAATTGCACAAAAACTGGTACGGAAACATGGATGAAAATCAATTAAATTTTTCAGTGTTTTTTTATCTAAAAAAAGCCCTTGACTTGCCGAACACGAAATTATTGTTAAAAATTGTTATGGTTGTGGTGGGGGGAGGGTTGGGCTGGTTCGTCTGCAGCCTGAGTTATGGATACAGTACTGCTCTTTTACTAATCAGAAGTCAAGTGAAATCTTTATATGTGGCTTTCCCATAGAATTAGGAATCTATGGGCATTCCACAAGGATTTTTTCTCGGCCCACTTTTATTTGTTATCTATCTTAGTGATTTTCCCTTAGAAATTCCCTTAGACATTCTACAACGGGTATGCACGTAGTTGACACAAAGGTGATTTTTACATCAGACATAAAGAAGACCTTCTTGAAAATTTTTTACTAAGCGTCTATCCGCAAAAAGGTACACGGTAGTATGGCTCAGCATTAAAAAATGTCAATGAACTGTTTTGCTGGGTATAATAACAGATGTGGGTTGGAGTTCTGATAGACAATTTTCAATGAAAATAACAATGAAAATAGCCCCGCGATTCCATCCTTTTAACATTTACGATGTCCTTGTGGAGAATTACGATATACAAACGTCGTTTTGTTATTTTAAATGGTATTTTGGGTTCCTAATGCAAACGTTGTGACCAAGATGGGGAAAAAAGTTTTAGAAACCCATGTACCAGCAAACTTAATATTTTATTATACTGTTATGTTATACATATGCGTCTTGTTTTAGAAACTGGCCAGTCCTGCTTCTTTATCGAAGCTTTTCTGGATTCCGAGTACTTCTCGATTTCGAAAATGTTCGTTAAGCCTCGTACACCAAGACAGCTTACGTCCCTGTTTTTAAAGATGCTTCGACTTTGTTTGTCATTATTTTGTTTAGTTGATTTTCAGAATTAGGACAACTTCCTTAGAAGGTCAACTGCTCTGAATATAAATTGTCATAATACTGAGAAATGAAAACAGAACAAATTTATGTGGCACCTTGTATTCAAGTCGCAGTAGTAGAGTCAATAGAAATAGCAATAAAACTAAGCAGCAGCAAATTCTTGAAAAGATCGATTGCTTGTAATCCAGCCGCCGAAATGCTATTCACAGGAATTGCCTATACATTACTACGTGTATGTCTGAAGGCTTCCTTGAAAGAATTTTGGCAGTATTTTGCAGTACGTCTGCCCGAAAAGAGATCATCTAATGGTCAAAATGCTTTCCTGTAGAGGTGAAAAAATATTGAAAAGCCTCCCAACCGCCTGTAAGCAAGCAACAACTATTGGTTTTATATCTTACATAAAGAACTCTAGAGCACTTTTGATAAAAATTTTGTTACGTAATATTTTATTCTTTCATTCTAATTACGTAGCATTTTTTTCTTTTGTATAAATTCAATATAGTTTTGTAACTTTGTAAGTGGAGGGCTCCTCGAAAATCAGCAACGCTGAAGGGCAACCCTCCTTAATACTCATAACCAACCAATCACTCAATCAACTATTAAAATCATTCAATCAATCGATCAATCAATCAATTACGCGTGATAAATTACTAACGAAAGCGGAAGTCATTACAATTTACATAGAGAGAGATATTTTACTCAGTTGCAAGCAGATTTTGATGAAACTTTTACTTTTCAAGTATAGAGTGCAGTTCAGGTTTAGAGCGCCATTGTTATTTTAACGTTCTAATGATCAGGCTAAATTGCAAAGCAATTTGTATGCTGACGTCATAGAGATTACTGACTTGGAAAATAATAGACCCTTTGTCTCCTCTTATTGCAACTTTTGTTTCATGCTCTTCGGTTGATGGTTCTTGTAGTGTCGTGTTTGTGTTATCAATGCAGCTGCTTTCGGAAACTATTCTATATTCAATTACGTAAGCCGGAATTTGAAAAGTCTTCTTTTAAAGGGCGCCAAAAAGCAGTCTTGACAACTGTCATTAATATGTAATACTGGCTTTGCTGCAAAAAACAACGTCCTATCCCATCGTTCTCAGCAAAAGCAAGATAATTATTTGCTTGTAATGTTTCTGTTATTACAAACTTAATAGCATGTCTACTTCAACCCTTTTCCACCGCCCAATAATAAAAGCTCTCATGTCGCGAATCAGATTTAATAATTCAATTGAGAGCTTTCGTCAGATGCATAGAATCAGCACATAAGCACGAGTTTGCTTACAAAAATGAGTTTTGTGCAGCAATTTTCGCATGAGAAATTTGAAGACAAAAAGGTGGTGAATTCATTTTCTGTAAAAGTCTCTTTACTGGCGTTGCAAAGAGTTACTAGCATGTTAATGACCAAGGGCAAGTTTGAAGGCCGAAGCTTAGCACAGGCTCGTGCTTTTAGAAATCAAGTGGGGACCCTAACAGACGAGCGTTGCAATCAGTTTTCCAGTATATTAATGCTGAGAACGGAAATGTAAGTATCTAACGTCTAGATGAAGTAACTTGTTCGGTATCTACATATGGAATGTTTTGTTTGATTTGTATTGAATACTGATCATTTGCTATATGCCACATTTTTTGCAATGAAAGGCTTTTGTTGATAAAGCTCTCTTATGTAGCATACCTAAGGGCCCGTTCACACAAGGGCCCATTCATTTGAAAACGGAGTCAAATTAATCCGTTTTTGCCTTGCGTTCGCACTACTCTTCGCACTTGCGTTTTCAGTGTGATGACCAAAAGCGGAGACATTTTGAATTTGAAAACGGAGTCAAATTAATCCGTTTTTGCCTTGCGTTCGCACTACTCTTCGCACTTGCGTTTTCAGTGTGAGGACCAAAAGCGGAGACATTTTGAATACGCTAACAACGGCAACAAAATACGTGTTTTTTAGCACCAAAATTTAGTACAAATTTTGAAATTGAAAATTAACATTGGACTGGTTGTTGTTAAAACAAATTTTTCACGATTCGCTTTTATTTAATTTAATTCATAATGACGCCAATTTGTTGAGGATTCGTGAAGGCCTCTTTTCAAAATTGAGGCCATCAACAGCTCAAGACCACTCTGGCAATTTATACTTCGTGTCACTGGTAGTCTGTATCATTTTACTTTTGGAGTAGACAAATTACAAGCGTAACCTACTTTCTTCTTACAGTTACATAAGAAAACAACAAAACAGATCCGTTGGTAGAAAACATTTGCCCTGCAAAAATCAGTTTTGTCCTGCGAAAAGGTCCTACGTTCGTGGTGTGAATCACCCACCCCCCAGCCCCCCTCCATATGTAGCGGGATCTTTATCGAAGAAGTGAGACGAAGAGAAAAGAACTTCGTTTATGTTTTCTGCTTCATCGTCGAAATCAAAAGTCCTATAACTAACTACGTGCTGAAATATATATCCTTAAGTTAAGTGCGTCATAAGTAACATGATAACGAGGTTAATACTGAAAAGGAGAATATTCCTATTACACATACCCCTCTCAAGTGACGCCCCTGCTCACTTGTCTCAATTCCAGAAATACTGGGATTTTCTTAAAAGTCAGAAACTTTCACTAATCTCAATATTTGTCTCTGTTGATTGGGGCATTACCTAAAGTTGTTAAAGTTAAAGTATTGTAACTCTTAGTAAATCGTTTGTATTGTAGTATCGTAATTTTGTAGAATCGTAATTTTGTAGAATTGTTTGCTGAATCGGCTTATAATTCAGTGAAACTGAAGTTATGGCCTCTGGAAATAACGCACGAGAAAATCTAAAACAAGCCTTTCAAGACAGAAGTACTAAATCTTAAATTTCCAAAACAATCATCAATCTCAATCTTGGTTTTACTAACCGGTCGTTTTTCCTTGAAAAAATGTTGCTTTCGCCAAGTAACCGCGTTATCGTCATAAAAAGTATCCCCACCACTGCCCAGAGACAAGGACTTTTTGCATGCTCATTTTTGTTTTGAACGGAAACAATATGGTGTGGTTTGATTTTGCAATTGAAACAAAACATGGTAGCTCCAAATTTGTAGATCCGAGTGATGAGTACACTTTTGTGGAAAATGATATATACTTTGGCAAATAAGATGACGCATTCCGTCAATTGTTTAATGGCAAAGCACTAGGTGTCTCCCAGTGAATTCTCGGCAGTTCATTTTATTCCATAGTAGTTTCCTGTAGTGGGTGTTTAGAACCGTAGCCGGGACTTCCGATTGATTCTATTTTGAAAATACACGCCTACTGCGTATTCAAAAGAGGGAAAGTTGTTGTATATATCGATGGGCTTTTAGAAGAAATGTGTCTGATGTCCTGAAAATCTTTGTTTAAGCAAAGCTATGATTAAAAATACATCGAAAGACTATGTTAGCCTGGTTACAATATGCGAAGAGCAAATAGTCGATGCTTTCTCAAGATTCTCCCGCGCTAAAATAGCTGTGTAAGTTGTTTTTGTATTTAGTTTTTCGGACTTTTTTGATTCACTTATTCACTTGTTTTTTTAAAAAGTACATTTTTTCCAAAGAGCCGTTGATTTTGTTTCAGTGAGGCCCAGTTAGGTCGTGACTGCCACCATAGTGCTGCCGCAAAGTATTGTTTCATGAACGATTTGGCAAATCTTTCCTCCAAAACACGTACATGATTTTGCACTCAGCTGTTTTCTCGTGATTTCCATTTAACTTAAATGATTTGAGTCGGTCTCGAATTGACGTTAGGTTGGAGGAGGATGTTGTCTGATTTTTTATCACATTTGAACGCTCACTTCTTTATTATTCATTGTTCGTTATTATTATTCATAAAAATTTATGGTTCTGTGCCTAACATTTTTCTGAGATAGTTCTCAAGCCAACGTGTCAAATTTGGTAAAATTGAGAAAAGAAGCTCCGACGCAGGTTGGAAAGTGGGCGGGAAATTTCACAATCCATCAGTTTTTACACGTAGAACTTCCTCCCCTTACACAATTCAGAATATAAATGTGGGTGGAAATGTAAAGGAAAAGGACATTGGTAGAATGTGGTCAGCCACAAAAAGCTACCTATGACGGTTATGGTCAAAACGCATTGACAAAAATCCCAAATTATTAAGGGTGAGGCCAGGAGAACTTCCTCTTGGGTAAGCCCCCGGACCCCTTGCTGTTACAATAGCTCAGCCTCAGTTTGTTCTTAATATTTTGTCAGTTTTAACCAATTTTTAGGGTCGTGTTCTTGTAATGTTGTTCTTATAGATAAAGAGTGTAACTCAATACATAGTCAACTAAAAAACTGAGCCTTGGGCATGGGTTTCAACGCAGGTCGGAAAGTGGGTGGGAAATTTCACATCAAAGCTCTATTTCACATCATAACAAAAGCCTTTGAAAAACGCTCTAATTGTTTTGCAAATAAGTAAAGGGGCCCTGTTGGAATAATCCTTAAATACATTCTAGATGTTACAAATTTCTTATGAAATTATTCTTTTAAAATATATTGTTGTGAGTGACTCTCAACATTCCTATGAAATGTATTCTTTGAAAAAGTAAAGTTTGTACGGCCTTAACGAGTCATGTGATGCTTCGACATTATTAACACTTTCTTCCACCAGGTTACGGCGCTGCGCTAGCTCTTCTCCGGCGCTGCACTAGCTCTTCCCCGGCGCTGCACCAGCTCTTCTCCGGCGCTGTGCTAGCTCTTCCCCGGCGCTGCGCTAGCTCTTCTCCGGCGCTGCACTAGCTCTTCTCCGGCGCTGCACCAGCTCTTCCCCGGCGCTGCACTAGCTCTTCCCCGGCGCTGCACTAGCTCTTCCCCGACGCCAGCTCAGACTAGTATGGCCTCGTTGTTCCCCGCTAAACTGAAGTTATAGTGAGGCACGACCATATATTTTGCAACTCTCTTTAACACATATTCTAAAAACGCCAACGCCATACATATATTCTTCTCTTTAACACTGCCATACAATTAATGTCCACAAAAGGGAATTTCACATAGTTTACTGTGACTAAAGCAATACTGCCTTTGTTTTTTGTGTGTATCGTTTCTAACCATTGGTTAATTTTGTTGTTCTGTTTCAGTTTACGCAGGCGTGCCAATAGTTTGGACCACATCCCTTCTCCATCTACAAGCCCTTCTGCGTTTCGCAAGAAATTCCACTACAGCCCAGTGGAATCACCAAGACCTTCTTTCAACCGAACTATTTCTTTGTCGCAAAGGTCTCCGTTTCGTAAAAGAAATGCATTCACGGAGCCCGAAGCAACACTTTTGGGTATGGTTATCTTCGTCATCATCATGATCATAATCTTCGTCGTCAATAATCATAATCAGCATAATCATTATTATCCTAAGGAACTTTTCATTTTAGAATATTTTTATAATTGCAAACAATCAAGAATTAGGAAGCCGGTTCCAATCATTTGTAATTTCCAATGTTTCATTTTCCTTTTTGATTGAATTTTCACTTTTTCTTTCTATTTTTCAGCTTGTTTTCTAGCTTTTTAAGAATTTCGCGACACTAATACGGAATTGAAATGTATTTTGTCATTTTTAATGGCACAAAATGCGCAATTAAATTAGGGAACTATTATGGAACTTTTACTACTACAATTCACTGAAAAGAGGCCTGAAATAAGGAACTTTAAGAACTAAGCCTCGAGCTAGGTTTCTAATAAAATCTAAAGCGCGTAGTTCAATCCATAGGCCACGTCTAGTGACAGACTGCTGTCTCTCAACATTTCAGTTTTTGTCGATTGTAAAATGTTACTATTTGCCGTAAAAGCTCTATTAAGACCTCCCTCTCTTTTAGGCCACACTTTGCTGCAAATGGGGACATTATAACTGATTAGTTTTAGTAAACTTTCGAAGCTGCTTGCAAATTTTTTGAGAACATTTTTATGACATTTACATAACAAAAAAGTGCATAAGGGAATTTTTATAAAATTTTTTACTTTGAATTATTAATAAGTCCCCTCTCTAACAAGCCCCCTTCTAGAACTGAGAAAAAGCTTTTACGGTAGATGTGTTCTCTGCCCCACTTCCCTTTTCAACATTGACTACATATTGGGGTGCTGCTTGTTCTCTGGTTTGCCGACCGACATTTTGGTCGTTTATTGATACGGATATTTTAAAATAAGTTTAATCGAGATAACGATGACACTGCTGTTAGCAACCTTACTTAGAATGTTTGTTCTCTTTGAGCAGCTGGTTTGTGAAAAATTGGCCTTACTGATTTATTGCGTTTCAGGCCTCAAAGATCAAAGACCACGAAGCTTTAAGAGGCATAAAAATGCAATGGAAGGTAGGCTTTTAATCACTTTTCTTTTGCTACATTGGTTGTGCTTTTTCAATCCGTTCCTTTAACCAACGTATATACAAATATACCCGTCGTTCTTCATACATTTTTTTTCTCCAAACCCCGCTTCAACCAAAAGTGATATGTAGATGATTCTCTTTTGAAATAAAATGACTATGTTTAGCTGTACTTTTGCTTTGCAACCACACAAAAGTAAATGAAACATCTGCTAAAGTGTTTTGGTAAATCTTTTACCGATAGAAGCTTACTTAGAACGCTTACAGCAGTCCGATGATAGAGTTGCTTTTACGTTTTCCTCTAATCACAGCTTGTAATAAATGCGGTAGATTATCACAAAGAAATGGACTAGAAGGATTGATCTGTCATGTAGTGTTTTATATTACTTTCAATTTCCCGATCAAAGCCACAAACGTAATTAGCAGGATTTGATCTCCATATAAGCCATTTCCATGATACGTTTATGTGAGAGTTTCAGTATGCCAGCAGCCAAACGCGAAAACAATTTATACGAGGGCAAGCAAGAGGTTTATCCCAAAAATGTCGCTAGAATTTGTTCGAATTGCCACATTAAGTTTGATTGATTTATTTTATGCCAGCACTATATGTATAGCAAATCAAAGCATTTTAAATAGGCCTTCTTTAATTATTTTAGCGCTTTGTGCCTGTCCTGTGTGATTTTTTCAGTTGAAATGATATGGCTTGGAAAAGAGGAGGGTGCATGGTCTATTCACCCAAATGATGTATGTGAAGCCATGCCCTACATACCTCTGAAAGAGGGCAAAACTTTATCGAGCACTTGGGAATTTTCTCAAACCATTTTTTCTGCGTTTTTGGACATGTCTAGAGGCCCAGGTTTTGGAAAAGTATTAAGGATCCTGGCCCACCATCTTCATACCGCGCTGCATGAAATCATTGTTTAGATTGTAGCTTAAATCATTGCTTAAATCTAATTAATGTTTAATTGTACACCTTAGTTTGAGAATAATGCATTGCGCTGTCATCAATGATGATTTGTTGTTATGCTTCTCAATATAGCACTTAACTAAAAATTGAAACTTGGTTTGACAGCCTTGTTTGATGCAATCGAGAGACAGGACACAGAAGAGGTTAGAAAGATTATGCAACAGCCGGGCATAAAAGTCAATGGGTAAATGTAGCATCTTCTTTTTTTCTAACTTACGCCTTTCTTTGTAAATAACGGAATTTAAATAAGTGATCAAAGAGTATTCAATGTTTTATTATCAATCAATGTTTGGAAATCGTCGGATCAGTTTCGATAAAAGCATTGGAATTTAATAGTTATGATTCTTTCTAGCCTGAACTCAGATGATTTCACGCCGCTTGATATTGCACTCCTGAAGGGAGACATGGACACTGCCAAGCTTCTCCTTCATTTTGGTGCTATTGAAAACCCATCGTGTAAGTAATCCAGTGTTTTTAAGGTGTACTCTTTGATTTGCGACAATTTAAACATTTTCTGAGTCCACAAAGGTAGGAAGCCTAATTAGGTGCTAATTGCATGGTATGGATAACTTTATGCGTCACAGGGGTAGATGAACCTTTTTTCGGCTTGCTAAATATTTTCAATTTTGTGAAACAAGGATTCAAAGCAACTTCAATACTTCAGTATTATATTTAATTTCATGGCATTTGAAGAGGTATCCGATATAGATGTGAATCTTTGCTATTTTACCCACGCAGTTATCAACGCAGATGCACGAGCAGAAAAGCTCGAGTCTTTAATCACGGAAGCAGATAAAAATGTCAACGATTTTACGGCATCTATCGTCAATTGTACTGCAGATATCAAGGTAGGACATAGTTGTGCCCATAAATAGAACTAAAGTAGGTTTATTTATCTATATTGTTTTCTTGATATGATGATTGTAGCAAAATTTACTTGCCAAATCTAAAATCATCTGGACGGGAAATCCAATCACCAGATTACCATAGCTGATAAATTCTCAACCAAAACAGATCATCTAGAGATTCTAATAGAATAGACGGGTTTTAAGTTTTGCAGTATGATAGTGCAGTTTGCTTCCTAATCTAGAAACCTATACTCGTAGAAACCTAATGAAAGAGTATTTGTTGAGAATAGGTCGAGGAGCTGGTATTTTCTATTTTTCTATATACTGATCCTGTCGAGGAAGGTCCAAGGAAGCGAGAGGTTGCCTCTCATACGTGAGACAATGAAAGACAACGGGGATAGAGAGCCTACTAGCTGTTTTTTGTATGAAAAACTCTTTTTAAATGAATTTTTTGTTTCGTATCCTGCTTAAAATGTGGAAACTCTTTAAAAGGTTAGGGTTGTAAAAATCGACCTAAAGGTTTCAAGGCGTTTATTACTATTATTACCAGTTTTAAAGCCACGGGTTTCTGTGAAAGTAAGATCCTATAACTAAATCATTTGTTTTTCGGATTGCATCGTTTTCATCTTTAGAAGCATCATACGTTCAATAGTCGCTAGTGAATTGCTTTGCACTTAATAAAGAGCAAATGCTAAGTTCATAAATTGAGAGTAATTGAAATGTGTTGTATATATATTGTTTTAGGAGAGTGAAAGGCAACTACGAGAATGGGAATGGAGGCTCTATACGCTTCGACTTATGCACAATACGCTTGTAAACACAGGTAGGCAGTAGCGTTTGTTGTTACTGCAAATGAATCTTGTGCATACTTATGCCATTCGAACGAAACAAATTAAAGTTTCAGAGGGTCTAGAAAATTTCACCGAGCATCTTGATCACCGAGCGTCTCTGTCCAATTCCTTTACTAGCCAGTTACTTGTCATAATGCTCGTTATTCTTTGATTTGAAGGCGTGTTTGTAGGCCTTGACCCTTGAGTATTTAAAATAATATTCGAACAGCCACTTATTTAGCCAGATATTCCAAATCTTTGATTGGCTCAGCGACCAAAATTCTTCATACCCCATTCGCTAATTAGAATTCAAGAATATAACAACAAACGTAGCTAGATTTAACAGCTAGATTTAACAGCTAGCTTTAGCAGCTAGATTTAGCAGCGAGATTTAGCAGCTAGATTTAGCAGCTAGATTTAACAGCTAGATTTAACAGCTAGATTTAACAGCTAGATTTAACAGCTAGATTTAGCAGCTAGATTTAGCAGCTAGATTTAGCAGCGAGATTTAGCAGCTAGATTCAGCAGCTAGATTTAGCAGCTAGATTTTTGCCCTTTTCGGACGTTTTTGCCACTAACCACAAACAAATTAACGTGTAAACTAAGCTAAAAGATAACTTATTTTTTTGAAAAATTTGTTCTTTGATAAATTTATGAAAAACTGCTGTTGTGCTAAGTTAAATTCTTTCTCGCGATAGGTTGTTACAAAGGCTTGAAATTGTCCCTTCCAAACCCTTATAATAACAAGGGAGGAGGGAACACAGAAATATCACAGTTTTTAAATCTTAAATCCACATAATTAACAAATATGAACTCACCTTTACAATTAATGTTCAGATCTTATGATGTGACATTACAGAATAAAACGCTAAATTCCACTCAGAGAAAATGCAGCCCTTCCTTCTCATAGATTTGCTAAAATTGTACAATTTCTTTTGCACTCAGGTTAATTGTATATTCATTTTAAAGACTTGAAGATCAATGAGAACCATGGATGTTCACTGCTACGGCCTTCTGAAAGCTGACGCAATTCGTGAACGATAAAAGGGCGGGAAAATGAAATATGCATCATTAACGAAAACTTGCTTTATTGCGTTTTAAAAAATTTCTGCTCGTCTGAAAAAGATCCATAAGGCTCCCCGATCAAAGAAAATGTGTAGTAATGGAATGTTGAACACAACAAAGCAATTTTTCGCTCTTTACTATTTTCCTCAAGGCCAATGATAAATCATTTTATTTTAACTTTTATTGTGATTCTTTCCAGTCACTAGACAGTATCAACTTCGGGATATTATCAAGTCACTTGTTTCTTTTCTGTGTTTATCTACACCCATAAAGATAAAAAATTTTGATGAAAGATATTCAACTTGACACTTTTCAGTGCCAGCTTTAGAGGCACGATAAGTTTCCCGAGCTCATAAATCCGTTATTGATTTTAAATTGTTACTTTTTCCCGCCATTTCTTTATTGCGCTGCTAAGTATTGCCTTGACCTTCATTTGGTATCTATTTTTGCATATATCTGGAAACTCGACTGAAGCAAAAGTGCAGTATCTAAGACCTGTATATGGGCTCATTTTTGCAAATGTTCGCTTTTATTTGATACAGACGCGCCAAACGAAATACCAGTAGTATCAGCTGCTCCATTGTCGGATCAATCAGTTATCATCATAATCACTCCAGCCAAGCACAGCAAAAAGGAATTGATTACCAAATATAAAAGTAAGTGCAATTTCTATTTTTCATATAATCACCTTGGTGCATTCACTCCGCTGTTTAATTCCTTTTTCTACTTTGAAGTTTTACTTTTGTGCTTTTGTCTGCTATTTTCGAGTTATTTTGTCTGTCTTGGGCGCCAATTTGCATCTAATCTAGCTACATGGGTAAGTCTAGCTAAACTGTGCAAATTAATCGTTTAAATGCTGTGTCTAAATGGGAAATGTCTATTTCTATTACTGCCATTCACCCACATTTTTTGTATCTTAATTTGTCGTTGATGTTCCTTCATTTCTGATTTCATTTCATCAATTCTTATCGGCAACAGGCATTTTAACTGTTTGGTGATTTTTACTTTCGGCTATAGTATTGAAATTGTGATGCCCCTTAAAACAAAACGGGGAACTAATTTCATAGAAACAATGCCACTAGGTAATATTATTGACTCATTGTTTGTGATTTCTTGTGATTGGGCTGGTGTTGGGTTCCGTCTTTTGCATGCCATGAAAGAAGGGTAAACTGTATCATCGTTGGTGGCTGGTAAATAAGATTAGGCGGAATATTGATGTCTCTTAATTGATCTGACTATTTCTGAAAAACGGAAAACGTCACTGTTCTTTGATTGGCTCTTTCCACCCCCGTGAACTGCTCTTCGTGGCTCTTTCGTACCTGTCTACTAGCATTCGAGCGTTTTCGTTACTTCTCTTGAGCCGCTAATAAGCAATGTATAAAAGCCTATGCATATTCATAATTCTTAGTTGAATGGAGCAGCGACTTGGACTTCCAAAAAATTAAAGGAGTGAAATTAGTAATGGATGTAAGGAGTTTACAGTGTACAATTGATGGACTGGAAAAGGTAATTGCTTATGTTTATGAACAACTTTTTCATTTGAATGTATTAAATCTCCTGTTTTATAGCTGCGGATGTATATGTCGTAATCTTCAATGCCTGCGAGCAAAAGCAGGGTGTCGCGAAATAAATATTTTTCGTATTCGCATGCAAAGCAACCATTTATTATCAAGCCGTTCTTTTACACTATAATTCTCAACAATGCTGCATGATAAATTGTCCGAGCAGTATCGTGCTAGCTTTTTATACCAAAAACGGTCGAGAGAGATTAATTTTTGACGAAATAAGTATCTCAATTTTATGCATGAGTGATTGGTTCCCGATTGTTTCACGTTCGCTAACTTATCAAGAAAATTAATGAATTCTCCCTTATTCTATTAAGGTAATTAGCAAACATTTAAGAAAAGGTTTTTTCGTTTGATACTCTTCAGAGTATAAAACTTCAGAACATATATCGAAAGTTGTTTTAAGGTATTTAATCATTTTTAGGGCAGAAAGTGCTACCTCCGTGTCAGAGTTGGGAATATCAAGGGTTTTGGACCACCAGTTACTCCAGATCCTCCTTTCGTCATTCCATCTTGTAAGTACCTTAGTAGGAGCATTTCCTGTATTTTTTATGATGGTGCGCCACATGTGTCGCTGCAGAGCTCATCTGTTGAAGTAGCAAATCGAGTCTTTCTCTCAATCGTTTAATTGTTGTATTATTTCTGCTTTCTTCCAGCCAACTGCTTTTCCCCAACTCACCCAGTTACTATGTTTTTATTCATAGCCTGGCATGAAATCAATGATCAAATACCAAGATACACTGGTTGCAAGGAAAGGTTAGAGGAACTTCTCGAAAAAATCATGGCCCACAAAGCAGCGCTATTCGAGGAGCAAAACGGAGGTAAATTGTTATTTTACGCCATAAATCGCACCACTTCTACCATATTGGACACTTTATTTGGTACCACCCTTGATTACATATTCGTAAGAAAGTCCTGGTAAGACATGTGCATACCGCCCCCGCAGCTACGAATGATTTCTTTCTCCTTTTCCTATCATCACATTCATTTCCTCGATTGCTTAAATGTGACAATTGGGCAGTGATGGATTTTGAAAGATTTTTTTCTCCAGATTTAGGGTCAAAAAATGGTGCTTCTCCCGTTTCGTCGTCGAAAGAATCTCCGAAATTGGGCAGAAAAGGATCTGTGTTCAGAACTGTTTCAAAATATACAAACTTGGTATTCCATTCTGCCCCCAAATTATTAAAACGATTGAAATGGTACGTTGTTGGTCATCAGTATCATCAAGAATATTATTCTTCTCCATAGTATCTGTCTTCTTTGCAGTTCGTATGTTCCCTTTCATTTTTCAACATTTAAAAGTTGACTGCTGACTTTCCATGCACACTTTGAGTTTAAAAATGTTGTTGATTACTCGCTCCTTATTCTAAAATAGAAAATAGGATAGTGCTAGAGTGAATAAAAAACAACCTATTGGCTAATTCTCTGATACTTCAGTGCTGTAGGTAAGGTAAATATGAATGACGTCATTAAAGTAGATGTTGTACCCCAAATTTAAGTAATTTCGCAGAGAATATAAATGAGTTTATTTTTCAATATCACAGCTGATGTTGATCGTATTCTGCTTTTATACCATCGATAGGATTACCTTATAATGCTCTTTCAGATCACGTGGCTAAGATCTATATAATTTAAAATAGATTTTATGACTTCATCTATTCATAGCCCTATTGCCGAATTTCTTGCTATGGCTCGAATGTACAGTGGAGGCTCAAGATGGTTTTCAATGACACTTCTGTCTTTCTCAGTAAATTATAAGTACAAGACATCCAAGCTTTAGCTTTCTCGCTTTAGTTGCCGTGAAATTTTTCCTTTTAGGGAATTTACTTCGACTGTTGATCGACTGCAAAAATTATTGGACAGGAAATAGCCTGGCCGTGTTTTCCGTTATAGTCCTTGAAGTCATATAAAGCAAATGACCGATTCCGCATGGACCGTTTTTATTTCATTCATCTAGGTAATAAATATGTTGAAACATTACAACCTTATTATTTTATCTTTTAAGCCGTGGCATTTACTTAGCTACATTGCTGTACAACGAGGAGGACGACCGAGTTCTAGTTACGATGGATGACAACATTCCTGTTGTTGAGGTTGATGACAATTTCTCGAAGTCTTTTACGCAAGAATTCTATTGGCTAGCCAAGGTAAGGCGCAAGTTGCTATTCGTTGTCGCTGAGCTTAAGTCATATCAACCTTCTTTATTAATCGCAAGCGGCGAGGAAAGAAGGTAAATTGAGAGAGTATGGAGTCTATTATTAATCATGGAAGAGTAAAGAGGAGAGTAAAGGAAAGTGTAGAGATAAGAAAAGAGGGAGAGTTAAGATAAAGGTAAAAGGAAGAGTTAAGTGAAGCTTAAAAGAAAGTAGAGAGAGAGAAGAGTAAAAAAAAAGTAGAAAGAAGAGTAGAGAGAAAAACAGAGAGAAGAATAGAGAGAAGAATAGAAAGAAGAATAGAGAAAAAAATAGAACAAGAGTTTGGGGAAGATTAAGAGAAGAGTAATGGAAAGTATATAGAGAGAGGAAAAAGAGGAAAATAGAGAGAAGAGTGAAGGGAAGTGTCAAGAGAAATGTATAAGGCTGGGTGAAGAAAATAGCAAAGAGAAGAGTAAAGGGAAGAGTAAAGGGAAGTGTCAAGAGAAATGTATAAGGTTGAGTGAAGAAAATAGCAAAGGGAAGAGTAAAGGGAAGAGTAAAGGGAAGTGTCAAGAGAAATGTATAAGGCTGGGTGAAGAAAATAGCAAAGAGAAGAGTAAAGGGAAGAGTAAAGGGAAGTGTCAAGAGAAATGTATAAGGCTGAGTGAAGAAAATAGCAAAGGGAAGAGTAAAGGGAAGAGTGAAGGGAAGAGTAAAAGGAAGAGTAAAGGAAGGAGTAAAGGGAAGAATGAGGGAAGTGTGAAAGAAAGTGTCAAGAAAAATGTATAAAGCTGAGAGAAGAGAATAGCAAAGAGAAGAGTAAAGGGAAGTGTGAAAGAAAGTGTCAAGAGAAATGTATAAGGCTGAGTGAAGAAAATAGCAAAGGGAAGAGTGAAGGGAAGAGTAAAAGGAAGAGTGAAGGGAAGAGTGAAAGAAAGTGTCAAGAGAAATGTATAAAGCTGAGTGGAAAGAAAGCAAAGGGAAGCGTAAAGGGAAGAGTAAAGGAAAGATCTCTTTAGAAGGTAGATTCCTCTTTAGAGTTCACGATCTTGATTCTTTAGTGTTCACTGTTGCGTTCTAGCAACCATTGTGGATTAGAGATTGGCCATGATTTTATGTCAGCTGCCTACAACTCACTACTGTATCAGAAGCATTGCACTACCTCGAGCGAGAAGAAATGGTCTATAAATTATCAAGAGCTGTTGTTATGCATTTCTTTTTGTTTTCAAGTGGCGAATAGGAATCGATGGGAAGTAAAACGACCACAAATAAAAGCTTCAGTCTAATAAGAGCATTTATTCAAAATTTAGAGTATGTTATTTTGAAGGGTAAAAGCGAACTTTGAAATCGCTTTTTTGTTCTGAGAGAACAATTTGGATTATTATATTGTTTTCTATACGCCAAACATTTTCATGGAAAAAGTTTAATTATTTTTGCTTAGAAATGAAATTTTGTAAAAGTTGTTACCTTTTGCTGGTAAAATTTCATTTGGTATTTGTGTAGAACCCTCGTTATATTTTGTCTGGAAGAATGTTGAGGTTTTGCACAGCGTTGAGTTCATCCTTTAGCGTTCTCGACGTGAAGCGCAACATACAAATTTTCTCTCCTCCAATTAATTTTTTGATCGTTCACTTCTGGGCTTTGTTTGTTACTAAAACACTCTCGTGGAAGGTTATGGCGTTAGAAAGATTTCAAAGAGTTTCCAGTCAAAATGTGCTGTAAAGTACGCCTATTTCAACCAATCCAAGAATTCAAATGTTTGGTATTGTTGAAATGTCGATAAAAAGCGTCGCCATTTTGAAAAAGATGGTGCAGTACTTTTGATGTGAGAGTGTAGATGAGTTCCATACAAAATACTGTCCTCTTTATTAGATAAGTTGCACATGGGAAGATGTACAGCAAATGCTTCTCGACTCATCCAAAGTGCACTCATCGCATGCAATTCACATTCGAAGAAAATTACTGCAGGCCAGTATGGTTCTTCAGGTAAGACAAATAACACGTTTTATGTCCTTCAATCTGTTTCCCTAACGTTTATAGGCATATTCATATCGGTTTTCTCGCTTTAACATAGTTCAAACGTATGCAATTTTAGTAGTCGATTGTGAATTAACATTCTGGCGTTTTATACTCTGAGACATTTAAGTTTGAAATCCCTGTTTCATGTACGTTTTCAAGTTTGCTACCACCAGACAGGCCCCGAGTTGAAATCTAAGTTGGATTGCTATCTGGGATACTACAATGCACATTGATAAGGAGATCACTCCAAATATACCTGTTACTGTGTGCACAGACAAGAAGAAAAGCAAATTTAGCATGAAAGAAAGGTTAGGATGAAAGCTCAGGGGATCCCATGATTTCTTTCTACAACAGAAGATGTAGTACGATATTTGAATGGTCACGCCTATGATTTTGGAAATGATGTAGTTTTGATGTAAGGTTTGTTGCAAGACTGAGATCGTCCAGCATTGCAGGGAATGAATTGTATGGATGAATTGCAAATATGCAAAGATAACTGTCTTCATAGACTGTAACAAATATAACGTCAGAGTACTGGGGTCAAAAACGAGCAATGACTGGACGATTCTTTGAGTGGATTCTTTGAGATCCTTTCCTGGCAGTTTCGGGACTTAAGATATGTTTCAAAGCCCACTCTCAGTTTAACTATGTATAAAAATTTGTTATTGGTTATAAGAAGCAAGTACACTTGCGGGTACACTTGACATGTTGCCACGACATGAAGTAGTGATTCAAGTGACATCCAAAAAGAACAGTCAGGAGCGGGGCTACGTTCCCAAAGAGACACGTTTTTTGTTGTTGGTATCGTGTTATTTAAATAGCGAATGGCTGTGAAATTTGTTTTTGGCATCTTGTTTTGGATAGAGGAGTTTATCTTTGTCATTGACTCGTTTAGTATCGATGAGAGGATGGCTCTTTGTGAGGGAGAGATTTTGTCCACCGTTCTTGATGCTCTTCACGGAATGCTTTGAGAGCTTGTTTGGTGCTTTCATAGATGTCGTTTTGCAGATTTGTATCCAAGTGGGTGTTTTCCAACGAGATTTTATGTTTTCGTTTGGTGATGGCTTCAAGGCATTCCATTGGACGGTTCTACATTGGATGAATTTGGTCGTTAGCAGATGTAAGTCAAGGCCAAACTTATTTTTCGGTAAAAGGAGGTGGCTAAAGGTAGAACTGACGGAGAGGTCGAGCCATTGTCGAATGTAAGAGATGACAAGATTTTCAGGATCCTGGGCAACCAACGTTTTGAAAATGTCAGAAACTGAGAGATGCCACGAAAGTTTAGGTAGTACAAATCTCTAGTAAATGGTAGGTTTGTCTCTAGGATGAATATTCAAGAAGTCAGTTTTTTGCCAACTAGAGAGAGAGTCTTTAATTTCAGATTTTTGATTGTCGTTCGACATGTCAAAGTCGAAGTAACGACCAAGATATTTAAAACAGTCACTGATTTCGACAGACAAGAATTTTTTATAATTTATCAAAAGGCTGGGTTTTTAAAACGTGATGATTTAATGGCAAACTTTTTAATGCCAAATGTGCAGCAGTTATCAACATGGATAATTATATTTGCCCATTTACACTATCTATTGAAGCAATTCAATAGCAGTTGGTTTTTTCTTTCCTTTGTTGGTATGACTGCAGCACCATCAGCGAATTGACACCAATGAAGACGGTTGTATGTCTCACCATGTTCATTTGAGAGAGAAACACCAATATGCCTGTCTCATCAACTTTAATAAACTATATAAAGGTGTTGAAAGAAAGATTGAGTAGGAGAGGGCTAAGACAATCCCCTTGAAGGACACCACGCTGAACTGGCATGTAAGATGTGCAAAATTCATCGTTGGTAACGGACTTATGGAATCATTTGTATAAATTGAATAGTGAAACATTTTATTTTCAATTCAACTATTAGAAAGGTAATTTGCAAGTGGCTTCCTGGATTTAGAAAAGATCTATTCCTCCTTTGTTTGTTTTGAAAGTTATCTGAAACTAAAAATGTTACAATTGAAAGAACTGAAAGTTCAGGATTATTTCAAGATCTAAAGGCAGAGGATGTAATGAGTTGAACGGATAATTAAGTTGGATAGATTGGAGATCATGAAACGGAAATGAATCTCGCTGATATCTAGAGCGTTGTACATGTCGATGAAAGAGGAGCAGGTAAGACCAATTATACTCAAGGAACTGATAGAAAAATTAACAAACATGATAGCAGAATTATCTGAGATTGGGCTGTGAATGAGAGGCGAGTATTTATCTCTTTAACATCCGCATTCGTTTCCTATCATAAAGTAAGTTCGAGCATGAATTTGCTGTTGTCAGAAGTGCCATGCGGGGATTGTCAAAATTTAGATTGGTGATTCGACTGCAATTACAAATCTTACTCTAAAATAGATAATATGCTGTTTTCTTGAATAATTACAATGATAAAGATACGAATATTTATACAGGATAACAAATCAGTATGATAATAATAATATTGTTAATAATACTTCTAGTAATGATAATACTAGTAAGTAGTAATTAAACTAGTAAGAGTTGTGTCATAAAATTTTATTAAGTTTTAGATAGAATGAAAACTTATTATGTTTTGTTTTAGAATGCAACTGGGGTCCAAGACCTAGGTTACCTTTATCACAAAGCTTTTAAAGATTCTCATGGTAGCATCCTTCTTCTTACTATCAATAATGCTCAGGTAAGGAATTTTACTGTCAAATGATATCTTGGTGCTTTGTCATTAAACAAAGCACAAGCAACCAGCCAAATGGTTGAGTGACTGATGATGATGATGACGATGATATCTTGGAGAAAATTTTGGAGAAAATTTTGGAGAAAATTTGCAAAAATTTCTTTGCTATTCTGAAGTTTCTTTACTATTTTGAATTTGTACAATTGAAATATGAACGATTTTTGGCGTTGCGTAAAATTTGAAAATGGCTTTGAAAAATGTAATATACTGAATACTTTTATCTGTTAGTGAAAAAAGACAAAATAAGGGTCGCAAAGAACAAGATGGAAATATATACCCAGTTATGGCTCGGAATAGGACAATCAGAATAACGCCAGCTCACAAAATACAACTCTATAGATCTTCAAATAGCCAAAACAACAGCAAAATTTAATGAAATGCTGTCAGTTCTCACAGAAATGTAAACATGGGCACAAGAAGGAAGCTCCTTGAAGCATGTGTCAGATCAAGGCTTACATATTCAGCCTGGCTCTGTTGCCCAAAGAGGCAGAAATGAATAAAAGGGCAGTTTGTTGGATTCAATTCCAAAGGAACATGGCGAAATGTGGCTGCAAGAGAGAGGATATTTATTAGGGGGACTACAGACTTGCTCTAACAAATGAAATAATTAAGGACATTGTCAAAACAACTCCCGTACGAAAATTCATTTATGCCCAACACCTGGAGTACATAGCTCACGTCTGTAGATCTGAAAGTACCTGCTTTGCAAAAATGATGTTACTTGCCAAGTTACAAAAACGTTACTTAAAGGGCCTCTCCAGCCAAAAAAAAATTTTTTTTTATTCACTAGAAAGTTAGCATCTGTTGCGTGTATTATGGCAAAGTCATTGTTTTTGCAAAATTCCAATTAGTTTAGCAGTTATAAGGCTTTAAAGTTGCACCTTTCCGAGAAGAAAACGACAAAAGCCGAATCAGTTTTGTAACATTCTGACGTCACAATGTGCGGCTCTCGTTCGCCATAAATTTCGTATATCTTCCACCGAATCGTGAAGGAGTCATGGTCACGCGTTGATAACGGCATCAAAATCTAGAGCAGGAGCTTTTTAGGATCGAAAAGTATTAAATGTTTAAAAATCATTCCAAGTTTGCTGGTCGGAATGTGTCCATGCTGTGTCACGACCTTGTTTTGATCACCTGTGTAGGCCCACAAAGCTACGGCTTCCTGTTCCAGCTCTTTCCTCGCGTATAATTAATCGAAATTGACACTTCAGTTGTTCTCCAGAAACGATGAACAACTAAGGGCTTCAGAATTGATATCTGAAATGCTCAAACTAAAAGCCGGTGGAACAGAACTGAGAGTACCATCACTTGCAGTGTTCAATTTGCAAATCGCCGACGTTCGATTCGGTTTGAGGCGAGACTAACGAAATACACTGTGACGTCAAAATTGCGTCACAGTGTCACCAAACTGAAAAAATTTTGTCGGTTAATCAATTCAATTATCGAAATGCAAGAGCTATTATCTCACAAACTGTAAAAAATATCGAAAAACAAGTAACGAATTCGTGATCAGCAGGTTCAACTCCTTCAAGTTAGCCAATAAAATGCAAGTGCAAAATTTGGCTGGAGAGGCCCTTTAAGAGATCCTTGGTTGAGATTCTAAAATTCTAAAATTTATCTGTTGATGAACTAAAAAGATTGATACAAAACAAATTGAAGTTCGCTAAGCATGCAGCAGTGACATTTATACCTTCATAGACATCAAGGGTATTGTTAAGAAAAATACTGGTACTGGTACTTGTAGGCCATGACCGGTATAGCTGTCCAAAAGTTTTTCGGTTGTCCAAAAGTTTGGTCCACAAATGTGCCCAGGTTATCGTAAAACTTTCTTGGGATTTGAAAATCAGTTTAAAAGGGCCATCGCAAAATGGAAAAGAATTACGCATGAGTCTTAGATACTCGGCAGTCTCTTTAAGCAATTTCACCAAGAACCGCATCGCAAAGCCATGCTGAGGTTTTAGCAGACTGTATGCCATCCCAACACAAAATGTTTCTTTGCTATCAATCCTCGCCTTGTTTACAGTAGAAGGGGTGCCCTTCCATCCATTCAAAAAGATTGCGTCCTTACCACCAAACAGATTTCTGTTGTCTTACATGCCTGTATGATTCTGGCGACGTAGGAATCACAACCTGAAGATTAGAAGATAGGATAAAACAACCTGTTTCTTTTAATATATCAAAGAGAACGGCCCCTCAAAGAGAACAGCATCCTCGATCTTGTAAGTTTTGAAACACTGTTAAAACAAGTATTTCTGCAATCGGACAACATCTCATAGATAACTCAGGTTGTTAAAAAAGTCGTGTTGACATGTTTCAGATTATTTGCAGAGCCCTGTCGTCTTTTCATCTAGCATTTTAAAAATCAATCTACATACATACAAAATTGTCGCTATTGTGTGGACAGAAGGAGTTCGTTTTCTCTCGTTGACTTCAGTGGTTTTTTTTCTATGGCACACGGTACTGATTGGACAACTATGCCGGTCATGTGCTTGCATTTCTCTGATTGGCCTTTTTCAATCCACAACTGGATTTATATGGACAAAGTATCAGACGAAAAATCTTTTAGCGTGTTGTAAAATGTTTGCTTTTTTCAAAGCCATTGAAATGAATAAACACGTTATTTTTTGTAAATTGATTTTATATTGCCACTTTCCCAGTCAAAAATTTCTAATTTCTCATGTCTAGTTTTGTAATTTCCGCGGCCGTTAGTGCACATTCAGTGAGTTGGCTATTTCCCGAAAAAGACTAAATTAGCTGGCTTTTGGCCTTTTGACGCTAAAATACGCTATTTTCTTGTTACAGAAAAGTTTCTGTAGTAGCAAGTCTTCCACCATGAAGTGGATCCCGATTTCAAAACTACAGAAGAAAACCAACGCTGTTCAAGATGCCATTGTTCCTCAACGACTAATTCCTTCTTTGCAGGTATAATCATTGATTGCTTTTATTGATTCAACTAGTCCTATTTTAGCTAGCCGCTTATTTAAAGTGCTTAAAAGCTACAAAAAAGGCTTTCAGGTGATGGATATAGTTATGTGATTATCTATTTCGTGCAGATATTTCAAATAGATAAACATATTTGTTTGTCTATGTTATGTAATGTTTGTATTTTTGTCTATATAAACAATGCTTTTTATAGATGTGCGTTACATATTGTACAACAAGCATTATTAATATCACATCGAAGTTTAAAATGTTTCATAAATGATTGGTGAAATGTAGAATGTCGAAGTTCAACAAGAAATCTTTTTTCTAGGAGCAAGTAATGTACCATCGACGAAGCAAGGTGTCGGTGTCAAGGTATCATTTAAAAAACGATCTGCAATGATTAAGGCACATCATTTAAAAGCTAATTATTTCCTTCAAGACAATTTGAAAGAGATTTGCTGTTATTACTGCATACTGTATTGCGTAAGCACAAAGCTCGAATGTTCCATTTACGTCATATTCTTTTACCTTGATAGCAGTTGTTAGCAGTGTTGTGCCAGCACTGTGTGAATAAGGCAGTTTTTTTCATTCTCTTGCAGAGGTCTGTACCTTGGGTACCTGAAACTTCGAACAGCAGTGGACTCATTGTCCATAGTTGTACCAGAGACGCAACCAAATTTACCCCCGCATGTCAAGATAAGAGACATCCCTAATGTAACAAAGTAGGCATGATTTCTTTCTTTGAGTTTTAATTGTATTCTTGTCGATTCTGATATTACTGCTGCTCGCTTTTTGTTGTCAACACGTAGGTAGCCTTGTGTCTTTCAAAGCATTCGGTAATTTTGGGCGACTAATCTACAGTGATATTACTTATCAATACATTATGATTATTTGTTGGCATCTATCATTCCATTTGAGGCCCAAATAGATTTACCTGTTTTTTCATTTAATGTTTCACTTTTTTTTAGAGAGGACTGGCTGTGGATACAGTCCATTGGCTCCAGCTTTGTGAGTTTTCTTTTTCCTTATTTCTGTGGACATTATCTAGTGTACCAACACTAGAACTATCTGCTGGTTCAAAGATTTTATGTTAAAGTGCTAAGAGATCACCAAAGGAAACACAACAGTTGTAGCCAATCCTTCTTCATTGTATACTGTACACCTCGGTACTGATTATCTATCTCTCTATCGCCGTTTCTGTCTCTTCTTACTTTACGATCGGACGTTTTATGTACTTTTAATCTACACAAACTCCAATCAGCATTTAGAAAAACAGATACAAATTTTACGTCAAAGATTTTTAATGGATAACTTTAAAATGCATATGCGGATTAATAAATGTCGTTAAGCTGCTTGTTTAGACCGATGAATAGCTTGAGTCAGTCCATGATTAGCCTGAGTCAGCCAAACACGCCGCTAACGAAATCTATTGTGGATACCTACACAAACATTAATGACGCAGGCAACTATATGAATTAACAAAAAAAATCTCTATGCAAAAACCATGTGCTGCAATGCCATATTAAACGTGCTGGCATGAATGGAAAATCCCAACAACTTTGGTATTAAAGCTTTCTTTTTAGACATTTAAACTTTTATAATCTTCATACTTGGATTTCAAATAATTCTAGCTCTTTTTTGTTTCAACTATAAACCTGAACTATATCTGTTATCTCGAAGTTCAAAAGGATCATTTGAGTAAAGCTCTGTACCTTTTAAACCCCAAAGGATCTGGAAGCTGAAGCCAGCCCGTCGTGCTCTGCATTTGAGAGTAAACTAAAGGCTGCCTCGAAAAAGTTATTTACAAACTTGGGTATCGAGGAGGAGGTTTGTTTCAACGTTTGTTTCTCCGATTATAAATTTTTAACATTAGACCATAACTTGTACTAGTTTTCGCGTATCTCGCATATAATGGTCTGGGGCTACTTATATTTGCAACGACATGGGTTGTAGGAGTGCTGCGAATTACCCTTAACAAACAGCTAGATGGACGTTGTTAAAACAATTATTCGAGCAGACGTAAGAGTTGGCAAAGAGATCGATAGTGAATATTCATAGCAACCTTAACCTTCTACTGAGGCAACCTTCAACGTCTAAAAGTTCCATATGCATTCATTTTTCTTAGTTTTACATTCCTGTTAAATTTTTCGATCATCTAAGCTGATCGGTATTTTATTTTCAGTACGCCAGTCGACACCGAATTTACAACAAGGAGGTTATTGAATTGAACGACAATGTACTTATGGTCCTTCTGTTGCCCCCGGTCGATGACATGTGTACTGCCCCTGGTCAGAGTGACCTCTTTCATGCATTGTCAGGTTACTTGTCTATTCCTGTGCAAACCTTTGAGATGATCAACATGAACACTTACCAGCCAAATATCATGAAAACCTACGCACGGCTGTCGTCCATTCTAGAACTTGAAACATTCGTTTGTCTGCAAACTGCGAGAGAAGCCTTGTCACCCTCCGAGGCCAAGGTTGCCGCTGACAGACAAAAAAAAGTAACCGAATTCCAAAAGGGGGTTGACGCACAATGGCACAATGCAAGGTGGATTCTTGACGTTATTCAAATGGCAAGAGACAAACACTTTAGTTGTGGTGCTCTAGTGGGACACTTGTATGACCCAGGGTACGTTTGCAAAAAAGCCAGTCTTTCTCCTCCATCTTCAAAACACATCAATACTGTAAATCGTACGAAAAATGGATTGTCTCTAAAAAGCAGTAGCTGCAACATTAAAGTTCATGGCACGGAGGAAATTGGTGTCTTACATAACGAATTTGTAGAAATTGACGTAACAATGGAGACAACGGTCAAAGAGATTGTTCACCTTGCAGCACAAGGGATGCTACAATTCATAAGCGAACCGAACAGAAATTTCTTCGAATCTTCGGCTGAAAATATGAGCTTTCTGGGCCTAGTTGTGCTGTCTGGCTCAAAAGAGCGCTGTTTAAGAGATGATTTAAAACTTCTTAGTCTTCAGAACCCATGGGATAGAGGACAAATATTTTTAAGGCTGAAAAAAGAAGCTTACAAAGCAGCAAAACTTAGTAAATCGACGTCGGTGTAGCCGAGCTACCTGTCTGTTAGCAATTTTTATGCCAAAAAAATTTAACTCTCTTGTAAAATTCGCACGTTGAATGCTTTTGTGTCAATTGGCGTTACTGTTATTTCACTGAAGTCGCTGATGTGATACTAAAGTCATCACTGTAACAATGATATCGTCACTATGATAGCGACGACGTCATCCACTCCGTCACTTCTGCAGCAATCAATGACCGAAAGCAACCTTACAATGAACGCCGTGCATTTGTATCTGTGTGGAATGGAACGGGAAGGTTTTTAAAAGGTTACGAGTCCTAATCAGCTCGAGAGTTGGAAGTGGTCGGCACTGCCAGCAATTTGCTTGATGCGGAGGACTGTAGCGGAGTTGAACCTTAGACCTCTTTTACACTGTGCCAGATAAATTTTATCCGCATAAAACTTGTTCGGGTTGATTTGCGTTTACACTTAACCGCACAAATTTTGTCCACTTCGTCCTCCCGTTTACACTGTGCCGGATAACTGCAGTCATGTGACCTAAATCGTGCACAGAACGCCTAAAACAAAGTAATCTCTGGGCAACAAAATAACAACTAAATTCCCGCCAACATAAAAAGACTTTTGATTCTCTCTTCAAAATCATCTGCTTCTCTTTGAGACGAAGTCGAAAGATACTGTCAAAACAACTTAGGCAAAGTTAGTTTCAATAATTCGTTAGTCTGAAACAAAATAACGCAGAAATAGCGAAGAAAGTGGAAAAAGCTGACAAGGATGCCAATTTTACGTGGACTGACGAAGATGCTGCACTTTTAACACGAGTATTTATCGATTACATGGCAGCCAAGATGGCGAAAGGTCTTGACTGGGAGACAGTGAAAACTAAATAGGAAGAAATAGCCAATTGCTTTCGAGCAAGATACGATGTGCATAAAATTTATCCGGATAAAAACATTCACACTGTACCACATAGCTATCCAAACTAATTTAATCCACTTTCCTAGGTGCACTAGTTTGTTCGGATAGCTGCTCTCAAATTCGTGCGGATAGCATGGGTCTAGTGTAAACGCAACGCCTATCTGAACTAGTTCTGATGCGGATAAGATTTATCCGAACAGTGTAAACGGGGTCTTAATTCAGTTTTTTCTCAAACGACTTGAAAAAAATTGACTCAACAAAGTTAACCGTAGCATTACATATCACATGAAAAGGAGCTAAGTTTCCTGTTTCGTGAATTAGTTATTTTTTTACTATTCATTCCATACATGATTCTGTTAGAGCGTGGAAAATTTGCTATACCCGAAATGTTTTGAGGCCGGTTTTTGGTTTCATTGGATAATGTTTGGTACAACGGTAAATAAGTGGCTAAGCTTTTATTATCACGTTGTGTGTCTATAATGGCGATTAATTTCCTTAGAAAGGGAAACGGTTAACCATTGCATTAATCATGATTGTAACTATTAAGGTCCGTTCACACTACTTCGTTTTCAGATGAAAACGAAATCAAACTATTCCATTTTTCCCTTGCGCTCACACTGCTTTGCTACAAAAACGGAGTTATGTGAATACGCAAATGAAAACGGACACTTTTGAATACCGTGCGTATTTAATACGCTCCGTTTCCAATGTGAACACCGAAAATGGAGACATTTGAATACCCTAACAACGACAAAAAATACGTGCTTTCTAGCACGAAAAATTTGAAAAATTTTGAAATTGAGAATTCACAATGGACTGGTAGCTGTTACAAAAATGTTTTTCACGATTTGCTTTTTTTTTAATTTCATTCATAATGACGCCAGTTTGATGAGGATTCGTGAAAGCCTCTGTTCCAAAATGAGGCCACCAACAGCGTTTTGTTGGAGCAGTGTGAACACCTACCGTATTTAAAGGGTATTCGTTTGAAAATTGCTAAGTGTGAACGGACAGCGTTTTCATCAACGAAAACGGAGCAAAACGAATACGGAGCAGTGTGAACGTAGCGTAATATTGATTTGATCTGGCTTCAGTTATAGATAAATTATGCTCATTAAGTCACTCGAATAGATGTTTTACTAACTCTATTATAACAAAAGCCAATAGAGAAATCTGTTCTACTACAGTTTTTCAGGTGCAATTATTCATCAACACCAATTTGTAAATTTTGAGGGCCCCCTGCTCTTGAAATGGTGTTCATCTCCTGCTCCTCCCTTGCTCCTCCCTTGCTCTTCCCTTGCAATATTGTAATTCTTAAGTAACGATTTGTAGTTATTTCAATATCCTGTAGTTGCCCTTTCAAACGTTTATAGCCTTGAACAGCAAAATACTCAACGTCAATCTCAAACGAAGGTTTAAAAGCGTTCAAACACTTATTCGGTGTTGCTCTTTTTTGTATGTTCAGATGTTTTTGATATGATTTAAATGGTTTTAGGCCGGTTACCTCATTGGGAGGCTTTTTTATCCCAAAGAAAAATTTAAATACGCACTGGCAGAGTATACTTAGACTTGCGTGACTTGGTAAAATGTATATATTATTATCATTTAAAAAGATAAATATGATAAGCAATTGTTTCTTAACCTTTGCTAAACGTTAGTGAACGATTCAGCAAAAAATATTTTAGAATTAGAAAGTTTCGTTTTTTCAGTTGGGAACCCCCCCCCCATAATTTTTAATGCTAGAATTCTCTGTAAAGCTAATTTAGTTTTAAAGTCTTCCTTATTGCAGTTGAATGTTCTGTATATTTCATGAATAGAATTGAGAATAGGTTCTGTTGTTATAATGTTAGATTTATTTATTTGAGTCGATATAATATTCGCTCATGTGCAGACATTTATTTCGATGGCCCTTTCTGTGTGCTCCTCTATGCAAAATTTGAAACTTTGAACAAGAGCAGTGAATACATTTTGACGCACTGCGAAAAGATTGACAGGAAGTTACACCATAAAGCATCATTGTGTACGAATAATGAGTAAACAACTACGTGGTGGATCGAGGGAAGCGCATACATGTGTGTATGTATGAATGTATATATATATATAGAAATTTGTCTTTTGATACTTCCGTAGCACAGTGCTCAATACGTTAGCACGTAGAGCGTGATATATCATAGATTGAAGAAAGTAAAACTACATGGTTTATCTCTACAAGCCTGTTTCGTGAGTAACTCACTCTTCAGGAGATGTTAGGCTATTCATCTCCTGAAGAGTGAGTTACTCACGAAACAGGCTTGTAGAGATAAACCATGTAGTTTTACTTTCTTCAATCTATGATATATATATATTTATATATATATATGTATATGTATTCAAAAGCTCTAGACTGTAATGTTTTTTAAAAAATTTAAATAGATGATCAGTAAAAAAACAACTTGATTAATCAAGTTGTTTTTTTACCGATCATCTATATATATATATACATATATATATTCTTCGCATATAAGGGTTCTGTGCTCCTACCTTGAAGCTACCTCAAAACGCACTCAAGTTACTGAAAGTCCAAACTGAATTCTAAATGCGTCCAGGTAATACTGGAAATAGCACTAAATTAAAGCCACACTGCGCACCTTTTATGGTTTGACTTCAAAAAGCAAAAGCTCTGTCGAGGACTTTTACAGACAAGCTATCTAACAGTTTAATAGCCCGAGCCTTACTTACTACCGATATATATAGTCAGGGGTCTGGAACTCAGGCTAATAGCCTAACAAACTGAAAAATAACCAGCAGAAAAGAATTATTCAAAAGAACGTCGACTGTAGCACATGAAACGTAGGGGTTAGTGAGTCTAGAGAGGTACGTCCTCTTTTTAGTAAAGCGCTCATTGTTTTACTGGTTCCCTCTTAAGAACTTGTAGAGGGGACCACATTTTTCTAGGAACCAGTTTCCCTCTCTAGCTCTCCCCTGCCTGGCTTTGCAAACTTCAACTTCCCGAGCTGGGGGTTTTGCCCGAGTCTATGCTCGAGAAAAATACAAAGCAGGCGGATAAATTTCATCATTGACTCTAGACGGACCTGTCGATGAAGAAATTCACCGCATCTCTTCTATTTTTGCAACAAATAAATGAATTTGTGTTTACGAAGAAAATTTACTTTTTTCGACGTATTCATAACTGTCTTCAACAGCATCTTAAGAGTACCAGTATTCTTCGTACACAGCGACAGGATACCTACCTTTTTACAAGTTGAAAAGAAACTTTGTAGTTGACATCAATTTTGTTGTCAAAACCGTGTTTCCTCTTTCTGATTGTAAAATTTCAATATCAGATTTTGCCGATCGGATGAACAACATAAACTTTCAAACACATCTGCATATTTCATTCCTCCAGAATTACATCTTTATAGAGTTTGGTAATAGAATTGAATATAGGGGTGAGAAGTTGTTTTTTCACTCAGCTTCAGTGACGTAACCGAACAACTCCAAAGGGCTCCGAAAGTTGTCACGATACAGGTTTGTTTGCATTAGTTGGAATAAAAAGTGATTTAAGAAACAAATATTCACAAGGGAATGCGTTACATAAAGAGACCGAGATCGCAAAACCAGTAGCTCCTTCTTTGAGATAGTTATTTTATCCAAGTATTTTGTGTGAAGTCTAAAAAGTAGAACGATTGTTTCAAAGAATAGAACCGTTAAAATTTTTTTATTTGGATAAGGATAAAATGTCATCAAAAAGTTGCTGTTGGAGCAGAAAAGGAAAAAATTAGTTCATTCCAATTGAAGGTAAATAGCTTTTTTAATTCAACAAATCCTGACAAGAGCTTTTCATAGAAGTACCCATGACATTGGCCATATGTGATTATCAAGAGATTCTTATGAAATCCTGACTGTACTGTCTTGTTCATGACCACATTTCTCAAAACTTGTAAAGAAATTTATTATGCCGAAAGTTAGCCGATTTTCAATGTGCTTGCAGAAGATCTAAACGAAATGACAGTTACGAAAGGATTGTTAGTAGCTGGGAATTACCTTTTAAATGCCCTCTTACTCAAGCCTGCCCCCTTGGTCGTTCCGGCCGAGGGGTAACCCCAAACACGGTAGAAATCACCCTTTCTGACCACACATAACCCAAAATGTCGAAGATTTTGAGTCACTAAATTAAAGCTCTATTCATTCAATAATTTTTACACCTGCACTTTGAAACTTGTGGCATGGGCCATGTATTCTTTCCACGGAAAGCTAGAAGTTGGTTGGCAAGAATGAAGGCCCGTTGGCAAGAATATTTTGTATTTTCGACTATCTGAAACTGTTTCATCCATGTTGATGCTTCAACTTTTTTATCACCTAAAGTATTTCTCTTGTTCATTTCTTTATTTTAAACTTGATTTTGGAAAAATATCATTATGCAGGGACCACCGACCAGAGCATTCCTAAAGACCCCGAATTGTACACGCGTATTGACTGCATTTTCTGGATTGCTTTTGCCATTACTTGCCTCTTTGCACTACAGACCCTGTTCTTTCTGTTTTTCCTTTATTTTTCCTCCTTTTTTACATCCGTCTTATGAAGATTTTCCATATCAAATCTCATAGAATAGTTCTTTTATTGCGTTAATGAATACAGCACTGAGGGCACATGGCTCGAAAGCTCTCTTAACTTCTATTCATTTGTCCGTCAGTAATCTTTTGACTTAGGTGTTAAATTTACTAATCAGTTTTTGTTGTGTTACAATTTTGAAAAGTAAACATCTTTAGTTTTAATTAAAAACGCTTGTACAATTTTGCTGAGAATTTGAAATGAAAAATGAAATTGAGATATAACAAACTGTAAGACTGGCTGGGTATCAACACATTAAGCTCAGGTCTTCTAAGTCAGTCTTAAAAAATACCATCGGGATTCCAATTCAGTCATGCACTTTCAAGCCATCATGATCAAAACCGTATGTTTGTTCATGCTAAACAATAGAAAGGTCCTTGCAAAACATGATGATTACTACATTTCGGTCATGCACTTTTGGGATGGCATGATCATGATTTCAATCGACAAAGTTATGAAACAGCCTACCTCCATTATTACCTTGTGAGAATGTTTGCTTTATTACGACCAATTAGAAAAAAAATCTTCAAAATGATGTTCTAATGCAGAAATAACTTTATGGTGAAAAAATTTTTCCAAACAAACTGAATAGTAGTTATAATTATAAACTGTATAAAATAATTTCTAAAGAAGAGTAGCTTGTAAATCTTTGTTGAAATCTTTTAGTACATATATAAACAAAAAAGAAGAGTTCAAACGAAGAGAGACTTGAGAGATCTACAGAAGGTGTATTCAAGTTTCGCATTGTTTTTAAAGATTGATGCATAACATAAAGGACTTGCTCTATTGTAGTGCAAGCAGGGGCTCCTACACTGTGGGGGAGGCTGGAGGGGCAGCTGCGCTATCAACACGTCAGTTTGCCATCTTGATTGACGTTGCTACGAAATTTGCCAGGAAGGACCTATTTTATGCAATCCATATGCTGAAAATCTAGTCTGGGTGAGTGATACTATAATGGAAATGAAAAAAAACTTCATAAATGGAAGAATGTGTTTGAGAGTAAAGGGCTAAGGTTTAACCTAGGATAAACAAAAGCAATAATATGTGGCACATATGCAAAAAGCGAGATTGACTCATGAGGTATTTTTTGGCAAGTGAATGATGGGTACAAGTTGTGGAAAATGGATTCATGGCAGGTGTTTTCTCCGTGTTTGCAGAAATCAAAATTTGGCGTTTTATTGTTGGGCGTCATCAGAAAGGGCATGATAAATCTGTGTCAGAGCCTGACATTTTGGTCCAAACCTGGCTTCCCCACTGATAACATAGTCTTCTATGCAATGAAATTGCAAAGTGTGTTCAGAAGAGTGCAAACAAATAATTAGCAAAAAAAATGAAAACTTTATGATGGATGTTACAAAACACTCTTGAGAAATATAATGTATGATTGTTAAATGCAGTTAATCATTTCAAAAAACCTCAAGGGAACACTTCTGTCCTATAAAAATTCAAGCAACCAAAGACAAACATGCAAGCAAGAAAGCAAGCAAGCAAGAGTAAGTAAGCAAGCAAGCTAGAGTAAGCAAGCAAGCAAAGAAATATATCATGAAACAAAACTTTACAAAAGAACAGCATATCCCTGATATGGACCGTGAGCTTACTTATTTGTGTCCTCAGATTCATATTCTAGAAAAACTCACTTGGTTCCCATCTAACCTACCTTCAAAGTTTCAAAGTAAGCTCAGTAAACCTGTGAAAAGTGGACATGATAGAGACTAGACTCCTGAGTAATCAGCCCTATGACTATCATCTGTTTTTAATTTTAAAGAATGGTTCTGTGGTCCTTGACAATTCCAAGAGAACCTTTACAAAAAAAATTCTTACTTGAAGTTTATTTCCATTTCAAACACACGACAAGAACAAAATCATGATATAATTTTCTTTTCAGGACTGTTAAGAGATTGTAAGAAAATATCAAAGATAATACTCTAAGAGATTGTAAGAAAATATCATAGAACTTTTAAAAAGATTGAATTTGCAGATTCAACTTTATGATTTTCTTACTAATTTGGTATGAGTGATTGACACATTGTTATTCTTTATTCACTTTATATAATTGTTGTCAAGTATAGTTGTACTAGTTGTGTTAATGTAGTCTAAATTGTATGTTTTGTTGAATTCTATAATGAATAAACTGAAACTGAACTGAACTGATCCTACATAACTATTTAACTTTGTTATCAGTTTAAAGTATAACTGTTTATATGTGTGCAAACTGTTGTACATGTTGGATTAGCTAATTTGAAGATAACATTTAATGTGTTTTTTGGTAAATCACAATATAACGATAACATTCTGGGTATTTAGGTGT